TCTAAAAAACACTCAGCAATGGGCCCAGAAAAAAATAGTGGGGTTTTTTTTTTGAGATTCTTCTTAGTGTTTTGAAAATATGAATAATTTATGAAGTGAATACTTTGTGCACATATAATGTTATGCTTTTAACAATATATATCTATGGATAGATTCCTGCTGGGTCAATGAGTAAATACATTTGTGATTTTACTAGATTTTGCCAAGTTTCCCTCCACAGGGTTGCACCATCTGGCATTCCGTGGTCAAAGCATGCGAGGAGGGTGCCCGCTCTCCCTCAGTCTCCCCAATTGGGCAGAGTTTTTCCAGTCTGATATGAAAAATAATAATGTCTTAGTAACGGAATATGGATGACATTGTACATAATGGGTTACATCATATATAATGCAAAATGTATTCTGGATCTTCTAATCCTTGTCTACTAAAAAAGTTTCTAATTTGTTTTTGACCAAATATATTTCCTATATTTTTATATTTGCACCCTTCTCCTTAGATCTCTTCCACGCTGCCTTCTGATTCACGTAACAGTGAGGAGGGCTGGGCCTTGGGGTGCCTGGCTCATGGACAACGCACAAGCATTGTCAGGACATTCTCTGTCACTTGTCTTTGCTTTTCTTTGCTTGTCAGTGACATTCTCTCAGATCCCCTTCCTCCTCATGGCAGGAACCTCACTGCTTGATTCGTCAGGTACAAATCAACTTGAGCGTTTTAAATTCAGTACATACTCAAGCCTGGCTGGTGTGGCTCAGTGGTTGAGCATCGACCCATGCCCCAAGGGGTCACAGGTTCGATTCCTGGTCAGGGCACATGCCCAGGCTGTGGGCCCGATCCCCAGTGGGGGACATGCACGAGGCGGCCAATCAATGTTCTCTCTCATTGATGTTTCTATCTCTCTCTCCCTCTCCCTTCCTCTCTCTAAAATCAATGAAGAAAATAATAAATAAATAAATAAATTCAGTAAATACTCTGATTGACCTAATCTACTTTGCATGCCTACCTTCTGGACCAATTGACACTGGCCAGGAATCAGAAAAGATGCTGTGATTAGCAGCCTCTAAACCAAGCACATGACTAGACTAAGTCAAGGAGCAATTTTCAGAAAGATGGCAGGATGCTTGCCCCCAGAAGACGACAGGAGTGCTGGGCAGACAGAGCACAGATGGCCACCAACTCTCACGGTCACTCTAACATTGACAAACGTTGACAAGTGCTTTTTATTATTGCTTCTTAGGCTTTAATATAGAGGCTTTTAAAAAAATATGTTTTTATTGATTTTTTAAGAGAGAGAGTGAGAGAGAAACATCGATCGGCCACCTCCTGCCTGCCCCTCAGTGGGGATCAAGCCCACAACCCGGGCATGTGCCCTGACCAGGAATCAAACCAGGACCTCTCAGTCCATGGGACGACACTCAATCCACTGAGCCACACCGGCTGGGCTGTAGAAGCAATCTTTACAGGGTTTGCCACAAAATGACTAGCTGTCAAATAAACAGAATGGTCTTGGGCAGTGTTGGGATTGAATCTGTTATTCTTCATGGTGATCAAAATGTACCACATCTGCCCTGGGATTTCTCAACCCTGATGTACAATTCTCTTCACTGATTCATGGTAAGCCCATGGGTCCGACATAACTATGAAGAACATATGTTTCTGAACACTGCAGAACTTTGGGGACTCATAGTTGTCAGGGCATAGATGGAAACTTTCGGCATCTGTAAAGAATAGAATACTTCTAACCGGTGCTGAGTGGGGCACAGAGCACATTGGATTCTTCCCCAGTGTAAAATTGAAAATAATAAGAATTGATAGACAAAGAAAGAACTGTGTGGGCTATTCTTACAGACAGCAAAAGTTTCCTAAGTTGTGTACAGTACATGGTTTCCAGGAAAATAAATGTTTTACATTTTCCCAGTTGAAAAACTTGTCTGCAAATGAAACATTGTTACTTCATTCTTTCTGCAGTATTCTAAATGTCTTTAGAATCATGTTATGAAATATGCTTATTTTTTATAGAAATCGTATAAAATGTGTTCACACAAAAAAGTAGTGACACAGGTTTTGGTTTTCTGTCCTTTAGTTTTCTCTTTGTCTGAAGAAAATTTGGAATTGTTAACTTTGAAAGAATTGGTTACTTTGATTAAATATAGAAATGAATGTAAATTATTGACTATCCTAGGTACAAAACATAAACATAGGGATAGAGTAATAAATATGATTCTTGGAATAAATTCAAAGAAATTATTGCAGGTTAAGATTATAGATTCAATATGATATACATCATTTTATTTAATATGTTATAAATTGTATATTAAGACTAAATCCTTATGTTTATCATCTATTTGTATATTTATATATCTCTCTATGTCTTAATACTTACATATAAAGGGATATTGATAAGTTCTTTATTACAAATTATTACATGAATAATGAACCAAAGGAGAAAATTCTTATTTGGATTCTCGTTCTGTAAAATGAGTCAGTTATTCACAGTATTCCATTAGCCCTCGTTACTTCTGGCATACATTTAAATCGTTTTTTTTCTCTTTTCTTTTTTTGTTAATTCTCACCCGAGGATATTTTTCCATCGATGTTTTTAGAGTGAGAGGGAGGGGCGTGGGGAGAGAGAAACATCGATGTGAGAGAGTTACATCCATTGCTTGCCTCCCACGTGTGCCCCAAGCAGGGTCAGGGATGGAACAAGTAACTCAGGTACACGCCCTTGATGGGGAATAAAACCCACGACCCTTTGGTCCTAGGGCTGATGCTCTAACCACTGAGCAACACTGGCCAGGGCCATTTAAATCATTTAAACAAAAAGTTCCATGTTGCTTAAAAGAGTTAACAGTTTCTATTAATTATTGTTTCTGGTTGTGATGTGCTTTTAAAATATTACCTGGGTTCAGCTGGTGTGGCTCAGTGGTTGAGTGTTGACCCATGCACCAAGAGGTTGCTGGTTCGATTCCCGGTCAGGGCACATGCCCAGGTTGTGGACCCGATCCCCATGCAGGAGGTGGACAATCAATATTCTCTCTCATCGATATTTCTGTCTCTCTCCCTCTCATTTCCTCTCTCTCTAAAGTCAATAAAGAAAAAAAAATTTTTTTTTAATAAAGTATTGCTTACTTTTAAAATACAATAAAATAGCCCTGGCCAGTTTGGCTCAGCAGTTAGAGTGTCGGCCTGTGGTCCAGAGAGACCCGGGTTCGGTTCCCGCTAAGGGCACGTACCTCAGTTGCAGTTTGTCCCCGGCCCTGGTTGGGTCGTGCAGGTGGCAGCTACTCGATGTGTCCCTTTCAAGTCGATGTTTCTCTCACTTTCTCTTCCTCTCTCTCCCTCCCACTCTATCTGAACAAAAAAAATGGAAGAATGTCCTCGAGTGAGGACAAAAAAAATAAAAATAAAAAATAAATAAAATATTGCCTGGAAAAAAGTAAAACAATTTCTGTAACTAGTTCTTGTCTCTGGAGACTTCCATCTTATGTTTATAACTTTTCTCCCCAAAAGACTCTTGATTTTGCCTTTCCCAAATTTAGGCCCCACATTCAGAAAAATAAAACACTATGACAATAGAGTTGATTTACAGATGGGATGGGATAACTCTGCCTTTATCTCTGCATCTCCTGGGTTACAGCATTGACTCTTAGTCAAGCAAAGAGCAGTTTTATAATCCATCGGTGAAAAGGGGAAACTCCCCTCCCCAGCTCCTCTATCCCAGATCAGATTTTTAACTGACAGTGTGTAATTACCAAACCAGTTAAGTTAGCTGGGTTTGATTATGTGGGCAAAGAGTCATCAAAATCTATGCTGGGAACCTCAGGCTGGTGTTCTGGCCTGGGCTGAGATACCGCACACTGATCCACCAGGAGACATGACAAGTTCTGTGTGTGCACGATGGGCCCTGAGGAGCTGCGCCTGGGGGTCGTCTTCCCAAGTAGTCACGCTGGCCTTGAGCGCTGGGCCCTTCACCCCCAGTCAAAGCGCTCCCTGCCTGTGGAGTCTCATGCGACCTTTCAAAGGTCCAACTCGGGGATTCTTTTCATTTAACATGTCTTTTGATGACTGAACTATCATTGAATTACTGGAAAGACCTCAAGTGTCACTAAGCTTTGTTTTTGTTTTCTTATCCTCATCCCAGGACATTTTTCGATATTTTGTTCAGATAGAGGGGGAGAGAGAAAGAGAGAGAGAGAGAGAGAGAGAGAGAGAGAGAGAAACATCGACGTGAAAGGGACACATCGAGTGGCTGCCACCCACACGACCCAACCAGGGCCGGGGACAAACTGCAACCGAGGTACATGCCCTTAGCGGGAACCGACCCCGGGGACTCTCAGGACCACAGGCCCACGCTCTAACCACTGAGCCAAACTGGCCAGGGCTTTTCTGTTGAGCTTTAACCTGGAACTAAGTCAATTCAAGTACTGATCACTATCTTTCCATGATAAGGGTAGAATCAGCTGAGAGAGCCAGGGGTCAGAGGGTATAAAAACTACTTGTTTCTCTAGTCCAGTGTTTCCCACATTTAACAAAGTCATAAAATCCCAGACCCCTTCCCAATCCTGCTGCATCAGAACCTCCAGGGATGTCCTGGGACACTTAACTATTCTAATCTCACTTTAACCTAGCCCTAACGTTGAAGTTTTCAGGAATATGAACCAATGAATTTCCTTTATGGTTTAAGAGAATCTAAGACAGACCTCTTACTTGGCAACAAAAGCATCCTCACTGATAAACTCGGCTAGATTTCTTTCCTTTTGTTTTTTTTCAATCTTTTCTTTGCAGATGAGTCAGTGAAAATTTATATGTCTCTGAAAAAGTTCAAAGGACAATCTCAGTTAGGATTTTCATAACAACCGAGTAGAGAACAGATTGAGAAATAGATCTGTCCGTCTCTCTTCCCTCCCACTGCTCCTCCCTCTTTCTGATTAAATAGGCCTGGGACACCTGTTCAGAGAGTGTTCAGATTCACTCCTAGAAACCTGAAGTCTCAGGCTCTCTCCAAGATGGACCTCACTGCGGCAGACCACCGCATACCTCTAAGTGATGGAAACACCATTCCTGTCCTCGGGCTCGGGACCTACACAGAACCTTGGCTGGTAAGTGTGTCTCTCTGTTTTGTTCTGGTTTTAAATAAGAAACTTTTCTAAAGTATAATCTGCAATTCATTTTGAATGGATCTCACGGATTCGCTTTTGTAATAACAAAAGCATCCTCCGAGGGCTACTGTTTGGCTGAACGAGGATTGAGCCAAACATTAAACTAAATCAGTTTGTGATGAAAAGTGATCTTGGGTTAGAGAATGGGACCCTTCTGCTTCCTTGACTAAAATTCAGCTGGATGCTTATTATTTGATTGATCTCAGACACATGAAGTTACTGAGTTTATGGCCAGTGATTTTTTTAAAGTTCATATTGGAGCATGTTTTAGTTCAGTCTAACAAACATGTAGTGGGAACCTGTCATTTATGAAGCATGAAGCTCCAGAAGCTTCAAATGTGAAAAGAACAGTCTCTGCCGCCTGGGAATTTAAAAATCTAATAGGAGAGGCACGCTTTTTATTGTTATTCATTTTATTTATATTTTAAATATGTTTTTATTTATTTTAGAGACAGGGAAAGAAAGAGAAACATTGATAAGAAAGAACATCAATCAGCTGCCTCCTGCATGTCCTCTACTGGGAATTGAGCCCCCGACTCAGGCCCGTGCCCTGACTGGGAATTGAACTGGCAACTGCTGGTGCACGGGACACTCAGCCAACTGAGCCACACCAGCCAGGGCGAGAGGCACACTTTTAAATAACTAATTATTGAACAATGAAGATGAAAGTAAATGCTATTCTAAAAATACACACAGTGTCTCTCTGAAAACACAAGAAAGGGAATGGTTAAAGTTTTCCTTTTTTGTTATAATTTTATTTTTAAATTACAGTTGACATTCAATATTAGTTTGTATTACTTGCAGGTATACAACATAGTGGTTAGATAATCATATTCTTTATAAAGTGGTCCCCCAATATTTCAAGTACCCACTTGGCACCGTACATAGTTATGACAACATTATTGGCTATATTCCCTAGGCTGGACTCTAGATCACTGTGACTATTTTGTGACTACCAATCTGTACGTCTTAATCCCTTCACTTTTCTCACCCAGAAGCCCTACCCCCTTCCCAACTGGCAACCCTCAGTTTGTTCTCTGTATCTATGAGTCTGTTTCCATTTCATCTGCTTGTTTATTTTATTCTTTAGAGTCCACAGATAAGTTAAATCATATGGTATGTCTTTATCTGCTGACTTATTTCATTTAGCATAATACCCTCTAGGTCCATCCGTGCTGTTGCAAATAGTAAGATTTCATTCTTTCTTCTGGCTGAGTAATATTTCATGGTATTTTTATCCACTGGAATATTGATGAGTGTTTGAGTTGCTTCCACATCTTGGCTATTGTTAATAATACTACAACGAACATAGGGATGCATATAATCTTTCTAATTCGTGTGTTGAGTTTTTTTCGGATATATACCCAAAAGTGAAATCACTGGGTCAGGAAAGAGTTAAGTTTGACCATGGGGAGTCAAGCGGGTTTCCATTAAAACATGATCAAGTTTCTCCTGAAATCTTTCTGCTAATCTCATCGCAATTCAATATTTCATGCTGATTGCCAAGATAAACAGTGGGCTGTGTAGAAATGCACTGCAATCTGAGCGATCGTGAAGGGAGGAACTCTGGAAAGCGAAGAATGGGTCTGTCAGGCAGGGGAGCGGAGCCGAGGCAGGACACTGCAGGGGAGGGGGAAGAGCAGAGGCACAAGGTGTGTGAGTCCAGGAAAGGCCAAGTCCACAGAGGCCGACACATGGAATTAGTGGTGGAGCTGGTAGCAGCTGGATCTGGAACTGCAAGTTAAGACTTGATTGTAGAAAAGGAGGAATTATGCCCGGCTGGTGTGGCTCAGTGGTTGAGCATCGACCCAGGCACCAAAAGGTCACCAGTTTAATTCCCGGTCAGGACACATGCCCAGGTTGTGGGCCCGAGCCCACTGGGGGGCATGCAGGAGGTGGCCAATCAATGTTCTCTCTCATCCATGTTTCTATCTCTCTCCCTCTCCCTTCCTCTCTCTCTAAAAATCAATAAAGAAAAGGAGAAATTATTTGAAGTTTAGGAGTGGAGCAACAGCACGACCAGATCAGTGTTTTTGAAAGAGAAGTCTGGGGGCAACATGGAGAATGGAAGGCAGAGAAAGAAAACTAAACAATAGATACAGTTAACACTTGTATCACAATCCCACACTGTACTTCAGTCGCCAATGTTTTGATAACACAAAGGAAAATCACTGCTGGGACAATTATAAGAGTCTGGGTCATTGGCCCTTCCTCTTACTTTGCCCATTGTCTCTGTAGGGCCTCATTCATAATCTTTGCTACGAGCGTACATGTGCAGAGACTCCTAAATCTGTATTCCCTATCCTTTTGTTATATCTCCCTGTACAATTGTGGACTGGCTACATCAGAACCACCTGGGACATTTTAAATTTTTTATTTTATTTATTTTTTCTTTCTTTATTGATTCTAGAGAGAGAGAGAAAGGGAGAGGGAGAGAGACAGAAACATCAATGAGAACATCAATTGACCACCTCTTGCATGCCCCTCACTGGGGATTGGGCCCACAACCTGGGCCTGGGCCCTGACCCAGAATCCAAACGGTGACCTCTTGATGCATGGGTCGATGCTCAACCACTGAGCCACACTGGCTGGGCTTTTATTTATTGATTTGAGAGAGAGAAATATCAATTTGTTGTTCCACTTATTTATAAATTAATTGGTTGCTTCTGGTATGTGCCCTGACTGGAGATCAAACCCACAACCTTGGTGTATAGGGATGACGCTCTAACCAATTGAGCTACCCAGCCAGGGCCCACCTGGGACATTTTTAAAAGATACAGATCCTTAGCCCCGGCCGGTGTGGCTCAGTTGGTTGGAGTATTGTCCCATACACCAGAAGGTCATGGGTTTGATTCCCAGTCAGGGCACATACCTAGGTTACAGGTTCAACCCCGGTTGGAGTGTGTATAGGAGGCAACTGATCAGTGTTTCTCTCTCACATCAATGTTTCTTTCTTTCTCTCTCTCTCTCTTTTTCTCTCTCCATCTCTGAAAATCAATGAACATAACCTCAGGTGAAGATTTTAAAAAAACAGAAAAACTTACTAGATTCTATTTTATTATTTTAGATTTCCTAACTTTGCTATTAATCAAAATTGCAAAAGAAAAAAAAAGTCTGTTATGCGTATACAAAACAAAACCCCAACTCATCATAGCCCTCACCTCAGCCTACTGAACCTGGGTCTCTAGGGCAGAGCCTAAGAATCTGCATTTAACATGCTCCTTGGATAATTCTGTTGTACAATCAAGTATGGACCCCATCTTCCACAGGCACCTCTAACTTAACATGATAAAATGCACTCATCATCTTCCCTTCCCCCCAAAATACTATTCCTCCTAGGCAATAGCACCCTCAGCCATGTAGACAAGAAATCTGCATATATTTCTCCATTCTGCCCTCTTCCTCATTGATTCCTTTCTCCACATTACATCATAATGATTGCTAAATCACAGTCGACTTGATCTCAGAAACATTTGCCCTCTTCCTCATTGATTCCTTTCTCCACATTACATCAGAATGATTGCTAAATCACAGTCGACTTGATCTCAGAAACATTTTCCGAATTCACACCCTCTTCTCTATATATTGTCATTACCTTCGTTTAGGCTCTTATCTTTGGGCTATCCTTCCGATTTTGTTCCCTTCCAATTAATTATCCAAAGTGGGGCTATCGGGAGCTTCCTGGGGCCCAAATCTGAGCATGTCACTCTTCTGTTTAATCATGACAATGGCTCCCTATCAGTTATAAGGTAGAGTCCACACCCCTTACTTTGCACACTGGGCCTTCACGGTTCAGCGAAGACCTGTCTGTCCTGCAGCATCCACCGGCACTCTTCCAACCTCTTCCTGTGTGTAAAACAAGAAGGCCTGTTTCTTGAACATCACTCCCACCTCTGTCCCTTTGAACATGCTGCCTTCTACCTGGAACCCCCTTTCTCCTGATTTGCTCACTTGGCTTACCTCTATGAAACCTTCAAGACTCAGCTCGAGGATACTCTCCTTAGAATCCCACGTCCCAGCCACCACAACTCACACCTCCTGTGTGTTCACATAGCCCCTTCTGCTTGACTCTGTTGCAGCACTCACCACAGTATATTGTAATCACTGTTTCTCTGCGATCTTCCCTACGAGACTGTGCAGTCCAGTAGGAAAGAGACTATGTCTTGTTTAGCTCTGTCCTTCCAGCATAGTGTCTAGTACGTAATGGGTGTTCAGGTAACGCTTGACAAATTAGGGAATGAGTTTGTGAATGGGGATGTGTATGTAGGTGAGCATCAGAGGTCATGGAGATGCAAATGGGTGCAATAATCACAGCTAACACTTTTGAACACTTAACCGTGTGCCAGGAAGTGCCTCACATTTCCTACGTTTTCTAATTTAATTCTCACAACATTATGAATGAGGTACCAGTTTACCCAATTTTAAAGATGAGAAAATTGAGAGATTAAATAAACTGCCCCCAACTTCTAATGCTAAGGAACAGAGCAAGGATTTGAACCAGTGGAGTTTGGATTCAGATCCTATGCTCTATACTCAGATCCCTATACTATGTTGCCTACTTTGAATATATCTCATATTAATGAAGGCGCATATTTCTAACTATGACTTTCTGTGTATATTTCTGTATATGCAAGTATCTAGGAATATATGCCCTGAAACATGTATCCTAGGATATAAAGATGCCATGGGTTAGAGACATTCGAAAGCAGTCCTGTACCATTTCCCCAAAAGAGCAGCAACTTACTTCACAATATATGACATGCAGCAATCAGAGAATGCAGGAGGAATACCACCAGAAATAAGATCATGGGTGCACAAACCACATTTGTGATCAGAAATGTTATCAGTGATACAATAATATAGGGAGTTAACGGTACGTCTCACAAAATCAGAAACTCCAAGAAAAATACACAACACGGATCTGAAAGATTCGGGGAAGG